TTTTCTTCCCTCATATTTTTCTTTTCCATTTTTTATTCTCTTACTCTGTTTTTTTGGTCACAACAAAAATAAAGTGTTGCTTTGTGAAAAATAAATAAAAATAATACAACAAAATATTATAGTACATTTGAAGCATATATTTAGTACATATGCTGCCAAAGTGAGCATTTAAGTATTTGTATATGTATATATGTGTGTGTGAATTTTTTTTAGTCTGTGTTGTATATGAAGGTGTGTTGGCATGCTTGTTCTTGCTGCAAGCACCTGTGGAGGCCAGAATTCTCCTGCTCACTACCTTTTATAATACAACAAAATATTATAGTACATTTGAAGCATATATTTAGTACATATGCTGCCAAAGTGAGCATTTAAGTATTTGTATATGTATATATGTGTGTGTGAATTTTTTTTAGTCTGTGTTGTATATGAAGGTGTGTTGGCATGCTTGTTCTTGCTGCAAGCACCTGTGGAGGCCAGAATTCTCCTGCTCACTACCTTTTTTTTTGGACAGCACACTTAATTTTTTTTTTTTTTCTTTTTGAGACAGGGTCCACTTGTAGCCCCAGCTGGCCTGGAACTCATAGAGATCCGCCTGTCTCTGCCTCCCAAGTGCTGGGACTAAAGATGTGCACCACCACACCCAGCTTTATTTTTATTTTATGTATATGAGTGTATTACCTGCATGTATGTAAGTGTACCCATGTTGTATGATGCCCGCAGAGGTCAGAAGAAGCTATCAGATACCCTGGAACCAGAGTTACAGACAGTTGTTAGTTACCGTGTGGTTCCTGGGACTGAACCCAGGTCCTCCGCAAGAGCAACTCGTGCTCTTAACCGCTGCACCATCTCTCCAGCCCCTCACCACCTTATATTTTGAGATAGGGTTTCTCACTGAACCTGGAACTTGCCATTTTGATGAGACTGGCTGGCCAGTAAGCTTGCAGAATCTACCTCTCTGACACTCCCTACCCTCCAGCCCTGAGATTATAGAGCACTCAGTAGCTGGACTAGACGTGGCTGCTGGGCTGGACGTGGCTGCTGGACTGGATGTGGCTGCTGGAGGTCCTAATTCAGGTCCTCATGCTTGTGCAGCTTCAAGAACTTTTCCCACTGAGCCAGCTCTCCTGTCTTCAAGCATATGTTTAAAGAAGACAAATTGGCATGATGTTAAATGCTATTGATTGGATTTTCACTATTTTTATTGGCTCGGAAAGTGCTTCAATGAATAGCATGTTAATATTGAATCTTTCCTTATTTAATATTTTTTTCTTCAGGGAAAATTCCCAGAGTTAAAAATTGTTTTTACGCATTTGAAAAATATAACTATGCATTCGTTTCCTGATAGTTTGATTAAAATGACTTTAAAAAATTTTTTTAGTCATTTTCTTCCTCCCCAAACCAGTTCATCAGGTTCCTCAGGCCCTGACCTTGCTGTTTCTTCATAATTGTGCTTAGGATCATCTTTCTTTTTTTTAAATAATTTATTGAGAATTTCATACATGCATATAAGGTGTTTTGATCCATGCCCACTCCCTCCCCTCCAAGTCCTCCCATATCTCCCCATGACTTTTTTCTGATAACTTCATATACTTTCTTCTTCTTTTCTTTATTTATGGGGCTTTTTGCTACTCTTAACATTCCTCCCTCTGAAGAGGTAACTCTGAAATCTTTTAAGGATTAGATACAAGCTCCCAAATACTTTTGGACATGTTTGGCCTTTGGAACAGAGTATGTTGGTAAGAAGCCCAAGGACATTGTGAGTTTTAGCCAAGAAACTGGCTACTTTTCTTTGGGGTCTTTTTACCCTAACTGCCTAGCCAATTTCTACCTCCTGTTCTTATCACACCATCCTCTGAAGAGTTTATCCAACTTTCAGATAGGGAATCGGGACACAGACCACTCTGGATTCTTCCATGCTGAACAGGGACACAGGATGAGGTATTTGGGGTACCCCCTTCAGTGGATCTGTCTAAAAGACTCCCAGATTGCATAAATTTTTGTGTGTGTGTGTGAAGGAGAAGTAAAGGCAAGAGTAATTAGCATTACAAGTTCTAGACAAAGAACTAGAAAAAAGAACAGGGCAATTTTCAAATGTTCATACGAGAGTCCATTGGAATTTCTTGACAAGGGCTTCCAGAAGCATCCCTCTGTTGGGTTCCTCTTCATTTTTCTTTTGTCTTCCAAGGCTGGACTCAAAAGTGATGGATTCAGGATTTGCTTTCCAGCACTTTGATAGCTGTTGGAATGGTTAGAATCAGTGTCAGTTCCCTCTCAAAGGCTTCTAGATAGGGGAAGAAAACAAATTTATCCATCATTTTGGAACGATAGCTGGTTGTCTCCCTTAGCTACAGGTGGGCGCAACAGTATTGGAGACTAAGATTTGAAGTCTTACATCTGAGCAGCAGCACTTTCTGCTTAGGAACAAAATCATCAGGAATTATTGTCTAAATAACTTTTTTAAAAAAGTATTTTATTATTTTTATTTTATGTGTATATGTGTATTGCCTGTGTGTAGGTAAGTGCACCCATGTCGTGCAGTGCCT